AAAAAAAAAAAAAAAAATGTGGGGAGGCCACTCAAGGCCACATCTTTCTTTACCTCTCTTCTGTTTCCTTCCATTAAAATAATTGCTGGGAGGAAAGGGGAGTGGGGAGTTATTGTTCAATGGATACTGAGTTTCAGTTTGGGAAAAGGAAGGACGTTCTGGAGATGGACAGTGGTTCTGGTTGCATAAGAATGTAAATGTAGTTAATGCCACTGAAATGTACACTTAAATGGTTAAAACGTTAAATTTGATGTTATGTATATTTCATCACAATAAAAATATAAACTACTTACATTCAACATTATTATTTATTCCCCTTCCATGAACTCTTCGGCCCATACCAATCTGGCTTCTGCTTCCTATCACTCGACTGAAATAGTTCATGCTGTGTAAAGGATAAGTTCCTACTTGCTAAATTCAATGGGCAATTTTGAATCATTATTTGAATTAACCTCTCAGAAGCACTGTTAACTCTTTTCTTCTTGCTGAAATATCCTAGTCCCTTGGTTTCTTAACTCCACAGTGCTGGAGCTGTTTTTCTCTAACTCAGCCACTCCTTTCTTCATTACCAACTCTTTTTTCCTGCAGCTGACCATTATATGTTGAGGTTTCTCAAAACTCAGTTCTAGACCTTATTTTTATCTTTTACCCCTTTCCTCGGGTTTCTCATCAATGTCTGTGGCTTCAACTACCAAATATATATCTTTGCAGACTTCGTCCTTAGCTCTAGAAACAAAAATATTCTCTCTCTTTGTGTCTTTAATTTGATATCTCAAAATATTTCAAACCCAACATACACAAAAGTGAACTCAAGTGAACTCAATTTATTAAAGCATGTTCTGTTATTTATACAAAACTGAGCTGGAGGGAGAAGGCTCATGGCTGGCCCTATACCCGTCTGCTAGTTTTACATAGGTGCTGTTATGGCTGATCTGGATAACTAACTAGTTGGCTCAGAGAGATGTGGAATCCAAATAGTACAGCAAGAGATATCTTTAGTAACCAAGGAGTTCCATGGGTGTAATATGAAGAAACAGCGAGTACCAATGGCTACAGAGCACAACTGTAGGAAGTCCATATTCAGAGAAATGAAATCCTAAGCAAGTGCTTACTATGTGCTATGCACTATGCTATATCTTGGTCATTTCTTTAGTAATGAAGAATTAAAAGGGAGCTAATGTGATAAATGCTACTATAGAAACACCTAAAAACTCCTACAGAAAACCATGGAGAGAGTCACTTTTCTGAGGATTTCAAGAAAGATTTCAAGGAAGAAATGTTATCTTAGCTGAGGCTGGAGGTTACATAGGAGTGTGTCAAATGGAGAAGCCAGAATGAATTTTAGGTGGAGGGAGGAAAACACAGATGGAGTCTAGATTTAACCAAACATTTAGTTGGAAATAAAGGTCTGCAAAACTGAAATTTTATCTTAAAAAGAACGATTATTTACCATTAGATAGTATTGACAACTTTATGATAAAATATTCCCTTTATATCATTTATAATTCAAAAGCCTGGCTCATTGGTCCCTTTCCTGCCAAATAAGATGTTGCCATTAGGGTAACTTGCATCCTGCTGAAAGCAGTATGTCTGATGTTTAAGGCACAAAGACGTTGTTTAAAGAAGCCTTCTGATTTTGAACAAACTGGCCCAGCAGGGAGATTTTAACCTGCCCCCCTAACAGGCCCAACAGCCTGTGTTTGTAAACAGAGCCTTATTGCACTAGTGTGAGCAGACAC